GCGTTTCACCCACATGCGAAGCGGGGTTCTCGGCAGGTGGTGGTCAAGCAGATCACTCCTGAGAAGGTGAAGATCCTTTTCAGCGACGGCAAGACATGGACTTGTCCTCAGTCCCCGGCCGGGAGCAACACAAACTTGAGACATGGCGCGTTGCACTACTCACAGTTTTTTGGCGAGTCCTGAGTCCAGGCTTGTCGGGGTTGAGTCTGCCAGAAGGCGAAACCATTTCAGGTGAAGGGAAGCAATGTGGTTCCTATGGGACTGGCTGACGTGCCCCTTCTCCCCCTGGCTGAGGGGGGACTCTTCAAGCGGGCCCTTTGGCGTAGGATGCACGCAAGTGTGATTGAGGTTGTTCTGCCCGCCCGCTCGCAGTCACCCCTGTATATAAGGGGAACATCGTTTTAGTGGGGTTGAGATGCTGCGGGGACACAACCTACACACACGGCCAGAGAATACGAACAAGTGCAAAATAATGAGACACAGATCAAAAGCTAATATTGCCAGTCACTAACCACTGAACTACTTCCCGGGCCACCTAAGCAAGCAATGACAAACTCATTTGCAGGGAGGTTGCTAACCACTTAGCCTTCTTCTCGGGTCAAGAAAGCAATGATACCCTCAGCAGGGATGTCGGCGAAGCTAAGGAAAGGCTTCTTGCATGCGCAGGTGCTTGCGAAGGAGCCAGGGTTCGTGGGTCACTTGTGCCATTTCCGGCGAAAGCCGTGGCTTCCCGTTCCAGCCTTTTTCGACGCATCCAGAGGCTCAGATGTTTAAAATATTATGATGAGCGGCTGCTGGGCTTATGATGCTATGACGCAAGAACGGGTGAAGGAACTCAATTTGAAGCGCGTGTCCTTTCTCTTGAGTTTTGCTTCACATTGAATCAGACCAAGAAGATTGTTCTGAAAAGAATCGTAGAGCCTTGAAGAAGACTTCGGGCTCAGTGTCAACACAGCAGGCAAGAGGCTGCGTTTCTTCCATGTCGGGGTATGGCCCCAAAGTCGTTTAAGGAAACAGAAGGAGTTGGCATGAGTTGGTCAGGATGGTCCGCTCCGCCCTCTGGGTGCTTCGCAAAAGCCCCGCTCACGCTCGCGGTCCCCGGCGCCCTGGCGAAAAACTGACGGATCTGTGGGGTGCCGGCCGAAGGGGACCACATTGATCTGTGTGTGTGGGGTGGGTTAAAGGGCTTTCAAAGAGAATCTACCATATTGGGGTTCCCTACTTGGACCGTATGAGTCTCCCAAAATGAGGGGCGGCTGACAGGGACAAAATGCGATTTCCATTGTCGAGACAAAGCGTCCCTCTACCGTGGTTGGGCTTCAAGGCGGAGCCGGGCACAGGGAATAAAATGTGCGGCAACATCATGAGCTGTAAAGTCTATGTCGCCTGGGTAGTTTGGGGTGGAAGGGCGGGGGTATGCGGCCGAATCAACCAGCGCTACTTGCGGCCCAGGTGCGTGTAGTGGAGGTCGAGATCCTGGACGACTGAGATCCGATGTCTTGCGTCTTTTGATCAGTTGCTGATCTTTGGCTCACGGAAGGACGCGGAGAGGAACCCGAGGGACCCTTGCACTCCAGACAACAGGTTTGGAGGCGAGTGTACATTGAGCAGTGCCCACCCGAAGGCTCAAATTGGCGAGCGGATTTTTGTTTGGGCGTTGCAAGCGGGATTCATGGGCTTGTGCTGCAAACAGGTTCTCGGCCGGAGAGGGTCAAGCGAGTATCAGACTGCACTTTTTGAGACTGATTGAAATCCAATGCCTTGGCTTGTACCCGCACGCTGTTCTTAAAGCAAAAGGGCAACTGCCTCATATCCTGCATTTGCAGTTGGCTTTCCCGGTTCTCGGAATCAGCTTGGCATCTCGGGCTCTTGTGGCTTCTGTGTCTGGCTTCCCGATTCCCCTCCGAGCCGTCGCATTGGAGAGGATCATCGCTTTCACCCCACCCAAAACCAACCTGAAACCAAGCCTTAGCCCAGTCTTAAAGATTTTCAAGCAACAGTCACCCTGAACCCATTGCATACCCCATGACAAACAAGCCAACCCTGAACCTGCAACCTTCAACCCATCACCCTCAATCAACTTCCAGCTGCTTGAACATCTAAAGGAAAGCAGCAACATCATGTGATTTTTCCGCTCCTTGCTACAGAGGAGAATTCGGGAAAAGGTCCGAAGCAAATGATAAGCACTCCAACAAATCTGGACACCACGGCCAGCACAAGTCAATGCCAGCTGAACATTCCAAGGGCAATCGAGGGACGTTTCCTTGCGCTTTGCAGCGGCTTTCTCAAAATGCTAGGCTTTGCCAGCTGCACCTATAGCTACCTCGAAGATCTTGAGAGGCTTTTCTTCATCACACTTTGACCCTTCATCACTGGCCGCGCAGCAAGCTCAAGCAGAAAGTCTGCCCATCGCCACGAACAGAAAGGGAGGACACGATGGCGGCCCGTCGGCCGGCAGCCCAGCAGTTCGACGTGCAATTGCGTGACAATGAAATGGCAAAAAGAACCTATTCGGGAGTTTCTCCAAATGGTGGACCCTTTCTTCAGTATTTCAAAGGGAACAAAAAGGAAACTAAACATTTGAGGGGACTACCTACCCATCTTGGCCCGTACATCAGGACGCCCCGGGGATGACAGAATCTGTCATGCCTTTGAGGTCAAGTGCTTTGATGCTGATTGCGGCCTGGAGCTTGGTCTCATCAGGGTCAAGAACTGAAGGCAACAATCCCATGCCAACGAAAAACGGTTTAAGGACTCTTGTTATGTACTGATGGTGCATCCCTGAAGTTGCAAACCACAAAAGCCGCCTGTCTAATCAACGCTGTGTTTGGGCTACGCCACTAGGGTACGTCACACTCTTCTGTGGCCAAACCCATGCAGCTCCACTTGCTTCATCGTTTTCTAGTCTTTCGCATGTCCGAAGTCGTCCGACCGTCAGAGTTGGGGAGCCCTCTTTTGGCCACAATCCAAACCCAGGTAGATGAAGGACACAGTAAGGGACAGTTTCAGTCAACAGGTGCGGCTCAACTGGGAGCCAACAAGATCCCGTTCGGGGATTTGCAGAGGCCTGCCTCTGCGGCGCTTGGATGCTGCAGCAGTGCTTCGTGTCGCCGAGCGAGGGCAAGGCTCTTTGTTTTGGGTGCCCTTTTTGGGGCTGCTTTTAAGAAGGGAAACCCCAGATGTCCAGTTCTCGGTTCCGGCTGTTATGCGGCATGTTTCTCTCTTTCTGAAGCAGCCTGAGAATCGGAGATGCTGTCACTTCAGTGTTTCTGACTCTCAACAGCCCAAGACCCGAGAGGGATATTGAGAGGCTAGCTTGTCGGCTTGCGCCCGGGGGTGATGCGAGGTCTAGAGTCTACAGGGCAGCCTCGGAATCTAGATCTTGGGGAACAGATAGCGACATGCCAATGGGCGTTCGGGATAATCAGATTGAAAGAGACAAGACCAATTCTTGCTGAAACCCAGCTTCCCGTCGATGTTTCGTCCACGCGACCTTCAGGAACCAAACGGCATCCTGATTTGGGTGTGCCCTGAAATAAGGGAGCTTTCCGGCCTTTTCTTCAACATCAGGGCCGAGAAAAGTGGTCGCATTTCAGGTCTCTTTGGACTTCTCAGGGTTTCCCTTTGGTTTTTTGGGCTTTCAATGCATCTTTTCAGGTTTCCAAAAGGCCCCCCTATTTGAGGACACCATTTGGCTTTGTCTCTAGTGGCGATTAAAGGCGTGCTTTTCCTTCCCTTTAAACCAACAACCAAACAAGGCAAACATAAGCGCCACAAACGCACGCACCCCTTCTTTGTTTTTATTACTAAAGGAGAGGCCACCCCTCCACCAATCCAGGCGCTGCGGGGCGAGCAGGCCGCCGCCGTGGCGGCGGCGGTGGCCGCCGTGCCGGAGGCGTGGTCCCGTTGTCCCCCCCCCCCAACCCTAGGTCCGGTGTTTTTGGTCCCCTGGTGTTGTCACCCTTTCAAAGTCTGGGTTTGACTTTTGGCGGGCTTTGCCCTGGGAGTCAGGGCATGGAGTTTGGATCTCATCCCATTTGGGCCGTTCAAAGGCAATCCGGATCCCTTGGGCAGATGCTTGTTCCTTCCAGGCTGGTTGTGGAAAGTCGGATTGGCCAGCTTTGTCCAAAGACAAACAATCACAACCTCAAGGAGTGCATTTGCAGACACTGGTAGTCCAGTGCCAAACAGAGCGTGCCTTGTGGATGGACTTTTGTGCAAGCTTGCCGGTGCAAGCAGACCCTGATCTCACTGCATGTTTTTGTTCTGCGGCTTTCACGGCTTCGTGCAGCCGTTGACCGCTGGAGGCAGCGCATGCGCGACTTCCTGAAGAGTTTGTGATTTTTGCGCCGATCGTGGATGTGCTGCCGATCATCCCGCCAGCAGCCCCAGGGCAGCATTCTGTGCGACCACTCGATCACAGGGTTTCAGGTGCGGCATTTTCAAGGAGGAGAACGGGTAGGAACTTCGCCCAGGCCTTTGCGCATTGTGGCTGCTCAAGCACGCAAGGGTAACAAGTGCAGAATGCATGCATCAGAGAGGTCCTGTTTGGTTTGTGCCTTGTCGTATTGGTGTTGTGGAAGCCAATGCAGTTGCAGAATAAGCTGTGATTGTGTAATAACCCTGAAAGCCTGAGCGGCTTCAGCCTTGAGACTGGGTAATTATTTTCTTGGACTTTTTGTGTGGCTTGAACCTGGCAAATGATAATAGCAACTCAAGACAAACCAAGCAAAAACTGGAAGCTACCATGCGAAAACCCAAACCATCAAGCAAGCAACGCGTCACCAACCATTACCCTGCACACCCGCCCAGCTTTCAAGTCGGGGGCGGTCGAGCTTTGTCTTGAGGAGCCAGCTTTTGGTCGGCTTTCAAAGGCGTAGTTCAAAAGAAGAAGCCAACCAGTTCGGGGGTCCATTTCCGCTTTTGAACCAAACCCAAAGCTTTGCTTGGGTCAGCCCCCCCGTCCCCAACCGGTGCATCCCCTCTACCCCAACCCAACCCAGCCCCCCAGCCCCGCCATCCTGGGGCGTCTCATGGAGCCGCTGCGCCCGGGGCCGCTGGCGGAGGCGCTGCTGCGCGCGCCTTTCCCGCGGCGCCCGGTGCAGCGGGTCTGGCAGGACACGCTGCTGCAGGCGGGCCCCCCCCGCGCGCGCGCGGGCGGGAGGGGAGGGGAAGCGATGAGGAGAGTTGGGGGGGGGGGTTGCTGAGAAGGTTTTTGCAATGTGTGTTGAGATTGCACCTTTTGCGAAAGTAAGGCGAGTGTTCTTTTGGGCGATGGTGAAAGATGTGAGTCAAGGGTTGGGTGGTTGAGTTTCGTTGTATATGGGTGGGGATAGCCAAGAGGAAACCACCCAGTTTTGGCCGTCCGACATTTTGAGACACACTCAGAAAGGTCTGTCTAAAAGGGGGTGATATGACAGCTTGTGCCATGATTCACATGGGCTGCTTTCAAGGTCTGCAAGGAGAATGTTCAAAACCAGACCTATTGGCCAAGATCATTTAGATGTACAACAATTACAGTGCAGTTGGCATGTTGGCTCCTATTGCACACTCAACACTTTGCGGTTCCAAGCAGCAATGATTCAATTCATTCCGACACATCATACTGAATTTTCGGCAGAAAGCAAATCGCAAGACGGCCCAGAGTAGAATCAAGCCGCCGCAATTAGCTTCTGCAAGCTTGATCACCTGAAGATTGCAATGCCAGAAGGCTAGAACCTGCTTTTCTGTAGGACGCCGCGGGGCTTACAGGCTTACATGCTTACACTTCTGCGCAGAGGCAGCACGCTTCTTGCACGCCGGCACATCTACACATGTGAGCCACAATCAAAACCTGGGTAGATGAAGATAAGTAAGGGCAATCCCAGCCATAAATGGTTGCGGCCGCCTTCATATTTCTTTACATGGTTCTGGGTCGACCATTTTGATACCGGTTTTAATTATGACTCATGTGCAGATAGATACATCAATGCTTGCATTCAAGCAGGCAGCGAAAGACAAGGATAAAAAACAAGCCACCCAACATGCATGTATCAGCTTGTCCTTCGAAAGAGGCCCACACCAAGTGAAACCCCTTCCGCACAAAGAGATGAAGTATTGCGAGAAACCAGGGGTGCAGCAGGACTGGGTCAAATCCTTGTTGGCACCCTGGTCTTGAGAGTAAAACCACCAGCTTCTCGTTCCAGCGAAGCAGCCCAGCTGCTCACAGAGAGGCCCTAGACCCCTCCATCTCCGACGGGGACGCGTACTGCGCGGTGGCGCTGCTGCTGTGCAGCACGGGCTGCGAGGCAGGCTTGTGCGACATGTCTTTGCCTTGCAACCACCCCCCAATCCGCTTGAAAGGGAGACTGAAGCTGAAAGCGGGTTGTTGCAAGAGTGCCTTCATCAGTGGCTTCTGCGAGGGGCCAAAAGGCCAAGCTCAGAGAAATGTTGTGGATAGTCTAGTTGTTCCGCAGCAACAGCAGCCGGAGGTTTCTCGACATAGGGCCCTGTTCTTCCTTTGGTTTTCCTTGAACCAAAAAGGGTCCACCGTTCTGAGAGACCTGCGCAAATGCTCGTTGATTTCAACCGAGGGCTTGGCCAACGCGGCCTTCGAGGGTGGAGTGCGGCCGCTTCATCTGGTGGCCGCGGGGGGTGGCACACTGCGGGACCCCGACCGCCTCACCACTGCACGGGCCCAGCACCTGGGCGATGATTCGGGGACGTGGGATGCGAAAATCGAAGCTATGCAGTCGCGCCAGCGAAACTCCGCAGCAGTAGGATTGCAGAAACTGCACGAAATTTTGGCACTTCGAGTGAGGTGTGCTACCCACCAACTTGTGTTTAAGGATGCTCGTGCGTTGACTGGATAAACCTTTTTACAGGCACCATCGACTGCAAGTAGTTCTCCCGAGACTACACATGACCTTTGTGGGAATCATGAGTGATCCCTGTTCAAAGCTTCGCAGGGGATAGGAAGCTGACAGGTTGTGCTTTGGGAAGCTTGGGCCAGGTGAGGTCTTGGAATGGGCTACTTGGGGCTTGGGCTCGGAAAGGCTCACGAGAACGTTTTTCTTGACTCAACGCACCGTTTGGGCGAGCAAAAGATGACCCCCCCTTTGACTAGGGACACAAGGAGGGAGTCTTGTTTGGATGGGTGCCTTCATGGTGGTTTTGTCTTGAGCTGATGCATTGATCCTGACGAGGCTTTGATGGGTAGCTGCACTTGACAGTGATTCGTCTGTTACGAAACACGAAATAAGAAACAAAGAGGCCGCAAAGCTCAAAAACAGCTTGCTAGTGCGGCTCTTCACTTCAGTGTGATGCGTTGGAGTAGGACATGGCCACTGGAAAAGAACACAATTCAGATGCCGAGAGCGGTGCTCCTTTGACACGCAACGAAGTGGTGAACACAGGTCAGGAGTAGCTGTACCGTCTTTTGCCCAAAAGACACATGGGAATTCCTAGCCCTTACCGGACAAAACGGCCATGCGGCTTTGGGGAGGGCCGATTTGGGTGTTTCTCAAAATTTGGGCGGTTTCAAAGGGTAACAACAATGAAACCGACCACCAAGAGGGCTCCCTAATTTTGGGAAACACTTGTTTGTTGCCACCCTCCCCCAACACTTCTGATGAATTGATCCCCAATCAATGTTCTATATAACGCATATCTCTCTCTATATATATATATATATGGTACAGCGTTGCCAGCCCCCCCCCCCACCAATGGTCATGGGTCAGGCAAGTACCCCCCCCCCCCTGTGGTTGTGGTCCTGTGGTTGGGTTGTGGTGGTTTAGGGTTGGTTTAGAATTGGTTTAGGGTATATTTAGGGTGTGTTTAGGGTTAGTTTAGGGTTGGTTTAGGGTTGGTTTATGTTGATTTAGGGTTGGTTTAGGGTTGGTTTAGGTTTACGGTTTAGGGTTTGGTTTTGGGTGTATTTAGGGTTGGTTTAGGGTTAGTTTAGGGTTGGTTTAGGGTTGGCTTAGGTTTAGGGTTTATTGTTTAGGGATTGCTTTAGGGTGTATTTGGGGTTAGTTTAGGGTTGGTTTAGGGTTGGTTTATGGTTGGTTGTGGGTTGGCTTGTCCTGGGGGTGGGGGTGCCGGGGTGTCGGGGTGCGAGTTCAGGGGGTCGGGGTGGGGGTGGGACCGTAGGTGACAGGATCCGGGGGCTCGGGGTCTCGGGCCGGGGGGGGGGGGGGTCCTGCAAAACCCATACCATATGGGGGGGGGGGGGTAGCAACACGGGACACGGGACCATATATATATATATATATATATATATATACACACACATACACATCCGTCCTTCGCCAAAAAACCCATTGACAGAAACAGGGTAGCCCATTTGGGTGGCTTATTTGGGTGCACCTCACACCCAGGACGCTGCTGCCGCTGCTTCTCGGTGCTGGGGCGGAGCTGGAGGCTTTAGCGAGCACAAGGGCTGGGTTTCCATCTGAGCACGACCCAATCCGTCCAAACTTGGCCAAGTTAGTAGGTGGTTCTACTTTTTTCCTGGGGTGTCTGCTCAGTTGGGTGTGAATTTTGATTGGGACCTTTGATGGACATGTACATGGCTATGTGTGTCCACCGACCATTGTGAGCCTATTTCCGTTGACATTCAGGACCAATTCATTCTACTCCTCTAGTTCATTCATTGCTTTCGTGCAGCTGTTGTACAATCCATATTCCATTCCTTCATGATGCAAGTTCTTCATTGTGGAATTCAATTATGTCTGATAAAGTTGTCGGTAATGTTGGTAATACAAGTCATGTTGTTTCTGGTTTTGTTGTTGGTAACAGCTGGAACATTCATTCAGCTCCTTGCAGCTGTTGCTTTCGCGCCGGAAGAAAACTAGTTTTATTCAAAGCACGTGGACGATTCCAGATGGTGTGCCTTTGTGTGGGTGAGAGCGCGTGTGTAGAGTCGCAGATCTACCATGGAACCACCCTTGGAGGGGGACCATGCAGCTCTGTATTCTGCGGAAATCACTTGGGGGGCGTCAAGTGATGCACCTGCGCATGATATCCAAAGTCCATTGTGGCCTGGACTTGACGTTGCTTCCCGTATTCAGAACCAAGCTTGCTCCTAGGCACCCCACGTGGAGCTGGCTGTGTTCCGATGTCAAAGAGTCCATTGGATGTTCAAGGATTGCCCAGGCCGCCCATGTCGAGGATTAACAAATCTGGCATGGCTAGTGGTATGTCCGCGATTTGTAGAGGACATTCCTTTTAGGGGACCTTTGGTACAAAGGAATTGGTCCCAGGGAACCAGGGGTTCCCTAAAAGGAAATGTGGTGTTTCCGTGGTTTCCTCGTGAGTTGTTTACAGGGGTTCCAATTCCTTGAAAAGGCACGGGACGAGCTGCACGGCGCCACGGCGCTGGGCTGGGCTGCCGGAAATGTTTGCCTGGCTGGGCTCAGGTGGGCGGGCGAGCACCGGTCGGTTGTTTAGGGATGGCGCTTGGTCTACTTTCTCACTTGACTCGGCCGACTTGGTCCACTTGGTCCACTTGGTCCGCTTGCCCACTCGGCCCGATTGTTGGCGAGCAAGTGGACCAAGTTGCCAAGTGAACCAAGTGGACCAAATAGAGCAAGTGGAGCAAGTGAACTAAGTGGCCACAGCACTTGTCCACTTGCTCCCCAAGCAAGTGGACCAAGTGCAAGTGGTTGTCCACTTGCTCCCTGAGCAAGTGTACCAAGTGGCCAGCCTCAGTGATTGCTGCCCTGGATTCCGCACGTCCTCTCCCAAGCCGACGCAAGCCTTTGATCTTGCAACTTCCAATGCTATGCTCCCCTGTTTCCTGGTCCATTAAACTGACAACCTCAAACTTACCCTCTAAATCGTGGGTTGGAGGGAAGCCACCCGAATAGTCAGTTGGAGGTGGGGCTTGATCAAAAAGGTCCTTTACATGTTCTCTGTAAGGGACCCGTGCTGTGCTTGGCCAGTTGCCTGGTGGGTTTGGGCGCCGACGTGGAGGCGGAGGACCACTATGGCATGACGGTCCAGGCGCGGCTGGTGATCCAGGGCTTCCAGGACGCAGAGGACTTCTTGAAGGCGGGAGGGGAGCGAGCCATGGCTCTGCGGCCGCATCGAGGAAGGTAAACGTGCCAGGGGTTCGAGGCCGCAGATGGGCCGTTGGGGGCGGGGGGCGCAGAGCGAATCTGCTCAGCGCATCGGCAGAAAAGGGCTTTGGCCGAGCGATATTGCGGATTCGGATCAGATGGGGCTAAAACAGGGGATCTGTTGGGGGTGTTGAGGGGCTTTGGGGTCCCCGTTTTGGGGCGGCTTGAAACGGAAAACAAAGGACTTGCCCACAAAAGCGTCTACTTCCCCACCGGTTTCCACCTGCTTGCCTTTTTTAAGTTTCCTCACGCATAGCATAGCGAGATATTATGGGTGTGTCTTTTCTTGGTGGTACCTTTTTTTGGGGTTTAAAGGGCCCCCAAAAGGAAGCCAACAATTTTTGGGGTCCGATTCCTATTTTAAGCCACACCCATACTGTGGATGGACGACATCCCGCACCGCCTAAGATACCCGGGAATGATTCGATTCCCCACCATAAGTACCAACCAATGGTTTCAAGCATGGTTTGATTTCGTGGTGTGAAATGGATTTCGCAACCATCCACAGTATCAAAGGAGAGGACGTGCATTGGGTTTTTACAAAAACCGTCACAACCCAAGCCAACCTAATGGTTTTAATTCAATAACAGTATTTTGTAGACACAACCAGGGGTGCCCTTAAAGGAAACCAGATTTGAGATGGTTTATATTTGGGTCATTCCATTTCTCGTTCCCTGCCTATCTCAGCTGCAAGAAAAGGGACCCTCGGAAAAGGACACCCCGTCTTTCAGAGCTATTCATGGCCTGTTGGCCTTCAGGCAGCTTCATTTTGCAAGCCAAGGTAAGCCTTTGATCTTGCAACTTCCGATGCTTGCCGTTTTTTGGTCCATTCACCCCAAGAGCCAGTTGGAGAACCCGACCATGTGGGGATTGATCAAAGGGTCCTTGGCGTAGGGTGACTTTGGAACCCAGAAAGACGATTCTCACCAAGTGGGAAACGTGACCCAATCATTTTGCGGCTAAGTGGGCACTGAGAAGAGGTCAAGTGGGCACGGAGAAGAGGTCATTTGCGGCTAAGTTTCCCATTTCTCGATGGATCAGCGGAGAGGACGTCGCGTCAGGAGACGTGGCGCCTCTCGAAGCCGCGGTCGGCGCCCTCGCTGCCGGCGCTGCGGTGCCGCCTCGGGCCCTGGGCGGAGGCGGAGGCGCGGCTGGGCGCGGCGCGGCGGGTGGCGCTGCTGGCGCCTCGGCGGGGCGGGGGCGGGGGGCGGGGGCGGGGGGCGGCGGGGGGCGGAGGGGAACCGGCAAAGGGCTTTGGTTCCCTCCATTAGCCATGGGAAAAGGGTTGGTTTGTGGTTGTCAGAGATTTTTGACGTGGACAAGAACAGGAAAGCAACGAGTTTCGGGGCAATCAACCCATTTGTTTGACACACAACTATATGGCGGGGGTAAATGTAATGAATCATGAGCTTTTCGTGTGAGGGAAGCCAATGTTTTGAGTGATACATATGGGTGTTTCTTAAATTAGGAGCCCCAAAACTGGCGGTTGGAGAGCTTTTGGTTTCCTTCCAAGAAGATAAGAGGGGAACCCTAGTTGGAGAGGCTGTCATAGGAGCCGGAAGCTCTCACAGGAGCTGGATCATGTGAGCCATGCTTGAGCTCAACCTCTTTATAGATTTTTAGACAACCCATGTAAAGGTTCCCGTTGAAGGGTCTTTTCGCCCCTTTGATCTAGTCTCCGCATGGGCCAAAGTGCCCACCCTCACGCACCACAAGCGCCCGCAGACCACGACTCGCACATGGAGTTTTGACCAGGGCACGTATGAGCAACTGGCAACACGAATGCTAGTCGTTTGTTTAGGCCCAAACTCTGGAACCAAAGGTATATGGGTTTGGGAATCCATCCGGATGCCCTCCCTCCTCCCCCCTGGCGAAGCGCGGGACCTGGCTGTAGGTTCGTGGCCTGGCGGAGAGGCAGGTCGAGCTGCCTGGCACCGCCGCCGAGCTGATGGCCAAGTTCTGCATGGACTTCCACCTGCCGCTGGGATTGCGCAGAAACCAAACCGTCTACAGCGACCGCTGGCCGAGCGTTTTTGAATTTGTTTGCTGCCCAGAGATTGGTTTTGGTTAGGGGGCAAAGGGTTTTCCGCAACTTGAAGCAAGGTGGCAAAAGGACCATCCTGTTGTTGGTTATGCTTATCTGGTTGATACACTAGATACCGGCCACGAACCATGACAAGTTGCAGGGTTTCGCTTCGTGAAGCAATTACGCTATACCTGTTCCTACTGAGTGCACCTAGATTTTCGGGGGATGGCGGCTGTCGTTCCACGGCGGTTCCAGGAACCGCGGGAGTGTGCTTGGCGGTACAGCTAGTTACTCAAGAAGCACTCCTCGCAAGGTGCCTGTAGCCAACAAAGCAACAGCCAGAATCATATCCAGACTGATTGAGTCGAAGAAAGAGAAGTAATTGTTTGGTCACCGATCGAGCTGGACAAATGCTTCTATGGCTTCGCTCTGCTACCTTTTTGCAATCATTCCCAATTAGACCCAAACGCCCGGATGTTTCTTGGCCATGAGCAACCCAGTCCTGTTGCCAGAAAGGAGGCCTCCCCAATATTCCTAGGTGGCCGCCGACTACTCAGCCAAAGCTGCCTTGAGCTCATGGAGATCTGACCGGATTCCCTTCGCAGCCGCGCTGAAAACACCTTCCTGGACAGCCAACGATAGCTCGCCCTGCGCCATCATGCTCCCCCAGATCTGAGCCGAGAGTTGGCGACATCCAATTGCTGACATCCGCTCGCCAAATGAAGCTGGCCGGCCGGCCACAAGGCCGTGAAGGAGATGGAGCAAAAGGCCGCAGCAAAGGGCCAAGCGCTGTCTCGCGCCAGCGTCTTATGGGAGTCATTTCAGCGCGCCCAGGGTCTTCTTCTTCCTGTTGGCCTTCCTCTGGCAGGCTGCTGGCTCAGTTCACAAGTGAGGCAGGCCAGGATTAGGAGGATTAGGTGAGTTGGAGGGTTTGCTTTGGATGACGGAAAGCGCTTCTTGAAGCGCTGGGAGTTAGTGTACGAAGTTGTGGGGGGGGGGGGGGGTGTGGGGGGGGGTAACCTCGTTCCGGGTGATTTGCAGGTCTGGTCAGCCGAAAAATACTCCCAAAAAATGGGAGTATGTTTTGGAGCACTTTCTGGAGCACTTTCTGCCACCGCAAGGCTGGTATTTGGTGTTTTTCCCTGTGTTTTTCGCGCTTTTTCGTCGACGCTGCCTATCATGTCTGACCTTTTCGTCTGTGGCTCTCGCGGGCCAAAAAGCGTGCCAGTTTTACATCATTTTACTTTGCTTCCGGCCTCGCCGGACTTGGGCGCACAAGGGGTGCCGGGGATGCAGGGGATGCCGGGGATGCAGGGGATGTCTCTTGTTTTGGAAGTTTTTGTGGGGGTCGGCGATGCTGGGGATGTCGCAGGCAAAATACTCCCATTTTTTGGGAGTATTTTTTGGAGCACTTTTTGCCACCGCAAGGCTGGTTTGCAGGTCCCAGGGAGACGACACGGGGTGTATAAGTACGGGCGCTGGTTTGGGTTGTTGCTTGTATGTGATTCAGTGCAGGAGGGTTGTGCAGTTGTTGGTTTGCTCTGACTTGGGTCAAGCTGGCAAGGGACAGCAAGGGACAGCAAGGCAAAGCAAGGCAAACCAAGGGAAAGCAAGGGCAAAGGAAGCGAAAGTAGGGAGCAAAGGAAAGCAAGCAACAGCACGGGCAAAACAAGTCAAAGCAAGGCAAAGCAAGGGAAAGCAAGGGACAGCAACAAAAAAACAAGGGAACGCAAGGGAAACACAAGGGAAAGCAAGGGACAGCAAGGCAAAGCAAGCGAAAGCACAGGCAAAGCAAGGCAAAGCAAAGGAAAGCAAGGGACAGCAAGCAAGGGACTGCAAGGGAAATCAGGGGAACGCAAGGGAAAGGGAAAGCAATGGAAAGCAAGGCAACGCAAAGGAAAGCAAGGACAAGCAAAGGAAAGCAAAGGACCGCAAGGGACAGCAAGGGAAAGCAAGGGAAACCAAGAGAAAGAAAGGGACAGCAAGGGAAAGCAAGGGAAAGGGAAAGCAAGGACAATCAAAGGGAAGCATGGGAAGGCAAGCAAAAGCAATGGAAAACAAAGGAGAGCAAGGCAAAGCAAGCAAAAGCACGGGCAAAGCAAGGCAAAGCAAAGGAACACAAGGGACAGCAAGGGAAAGGAAAAACAAGGGAAAGCAAAGACAAGCAAAGGAAAGCAAGGGACAGCAAGGGAAAGCAAGGGAAAACAAGGGAGAGCAAGGCAAAGCAAGCAAAAGCACGGGCAAAGCAAGGGAAACAAAGGGAAAGGGAAAGCAGGGACAAGCAAACGAAAGCAAGGGACAGCCAGTGAAGGCAAGGGAAAGCAAGGGAAAACAAGCGAGAGCAAGGCAAAGCAAGAAAAAGCACGGGCAAAGCAAGGCAAAAGAAAGGAAGGCAAGGGAAAGCAAGGGAAAGTATGTGAAAGGGAAAGCAAGTGAAAGCAAGGGATAGCAGGGCAAAGAAAGCAAAAGCATGGGCAAAGCAACGCAAAGCAAAGGAACACAAGGGAAAGGAAGGGAGAGCAAGGCAAAGCAAGCAAAAGCACGGGCAAAGCAAGGGAAAGCAAGGGAAAGCAAGGGAAAGCAAGAGACAGCAAGACAGCAAGGCAAAGCAAGCAAAAGCACGGGCACAGAAAGGCAAAGCAAAGGAAAGCAAGGGACAGCAAGGGAACACAAGGGAAAACAAGGGAAAGCAAGGGACAGCAAGGCAAGGGAAGCAACGGAAAACAAGGTAAAGCAAGGGGCAGCAAGGCAAAGCAAGCAAAAGCACGGGCAAAGCAAGGGACAGCAAGGGAAAGCAAGCGAAAACAAGGGAAAGCAAGGGACAGCAAGGCAAAGCAAGCTAAAGCACGGGCAAAGCAAGGCAAAGCAAAGGAAAGCAAGGTTTGCAGGTGTGGTCAGCCGAAAAAAAATGGGAGTATTTTTTGGAGCACTTTCTGCCACCGCAAGGCTGGTTTGTGGTGT